CGGTGTTGGGGGCGGGGGGAGGGCTCAGCGGGTGCCCCCCGGGGGCCGGGGGTTCCGTGGGCGGCGGTGGGCACGTCCCCGCTGGCCCGGGCGTCATCACGATATCCGCGGGGCCGACCTGTCGTTGGTGACGGTCCTGCGCAGGCGCACCCCGCGCCGGATGGCCACCAGCATGTCTTCGGCCGGGGGGTCCATGGAGGCTGCCGGGGGGGGCGCGGGGGTCTCCTCGCCGGGGCCCGACCCCGTGAGGGCGGTGGGGAAGGGGAACTGGCCTTCCCCTAGAGCGTGGGCGCCGGCCACCAGCTCGCCGATCTTCTCCACCAAACTGTGCCGGTTGGCGGCCAACTGTTGGTCCTCCTCTTCCTCGGCGGAGAGGTGTTGGCCGGCCCCGGGGTAGACGGAGATCTCCATGGCACCACCACCCCAGGCCGTGTTGGGAAGGCTCAGCCTCTTGGGCGAAGCTTTGGCAAAATCCAGGGGGTTGGGCGAGGCATCGTCCACGTAGAAGACGCACTCTTCGCTGCCCACCCGCGTGGGGCCAGCGTAGCCGGGGGAGTCGGGCACCGTGGGGGTCTTGACGGGGACGATGGGGGGTCGGATGGGGATGGGGCCGGCGTTGGAGAGGGTACGGCGGACCGAGGGTTTGGTGGAGGGCGTGCGGCGGATGGTGGCCACCCCCGGGGTGGTGCCGGCCGGGAGGTTGGTACCGGTGGGCAGGCCGGCGGTGGAGGCGGGACGCTTGGTCTGGATCATCCGCCGGTAGTTCTGGGCGATGTTGCTGTTGCGCGGGATGGTGGAGGACTTATCGAAGTCGCTCTGGGGGTCACACTCCACATCGCCGTTGACCGAGTAGCAGTCGTAGTCAGAGCCTGGGGAGGGGGCGGCACGGTCAGGGCGCTGAGGTGGGTGGCACAGCTGGCACCGCCAAACTCAACCACCACCTTCACAACGCAATCACAGCCGTCGCAGTGTGGCCACAACCAAACTCAATCACTACCATTGCAACACAATCACAACTGGCCCCAGCCATTGCTGGCACAACATAGTGACATCAAGCCCAACCATTAGGAAGCACCACAATCAAAACCAACCACCACCATCAGAAGGCACCACCCAGCTACTATCAGAAGGCACCACAATCAAACCCAACCATCATCATGAGAAAGCACCACAAGCAAGCCCAACCACCACCATCAGAAGGCACCACAATCAAGCCCCAACAACCATCAGATGGCACCACAATCAAGCCCAACCACCATCAGGTGGCACCACAATCAAACCCAACCACCATCAGATGGCACCACAATCAAGCCCAACCACCACCATCAGATGGCACCACAATCAAGCCCCAACCACCATCAGGTGGCACCACAATCAAACCCAACCACCATCAGATGGCACCACAATCAAACCCAACCACACCATCAGAAAGCACCACACCTCAAGCCCAACCACCACCATCAGAAGGCACCACAATGAAACTCAACCATCCCATTGAGATCACAACCAAACCCAACTGTCACCATCGCAACACCATCACAACCAGCCCCTGCCATTGCCAGCACATGATCACAACCAGACTCAGCCATGACCATTACAACTGGCCTCAATCATCACCACCACATGCTTGTAGTCAAACCCAACCATCACCATCACAACCCCCCCAACCACTGCCATCACAATGTGATCACAGCCAACCTCCACTATCACCATCACGTGCTCACAACTGGCTCAGCCAACACAACCACGGCACAACACGACTGTCCCTGCGGTCACTCAATCTCCAACCACCTCCACTGCCTTCACCGACCATCTGCCACCATCTCCACCTGTACCCAACCGCTGTGCACAACGACATCACTGCACACCAACGACACTCCAAAAAGTGCTGCCCGGCACAACTGTAGCCATCAAGACCCAACCAACACCCAACGGACCAGGAAACCTTGTAGTTACCACCTTGCTTCTGCCACACGCCAAACCTCCAACACACATCAGATCTTCACCCCACCAGCCCCTACAGGATGTGACCACAGCCTGGTGCTACCAACACCTGCTGCAGGCAGAAATGCCCCCAGGATCACCAAAGCCTCTGCTGTCCCCTTCCCCTCTCTGGGTGCCATTTTGGGTGGCCCTGGGGGAGATACCTTGGGAAGGGATGGTGTCCTCGGAGCAGGAGGGGGTGGTGGTCTGCGTGCTGTAGCCGCTGGAATACTGCAGCGAGTCCCGGCTACTCTTCTGGTGCTCCAGGCTGAGCCCCCGGGTCAACACCATGGCCAGGTCGCTGGCGGCGGGGGACACCTCCTCCCCATGCTGTGTAGGGGGCAAGGAGGACACTATCAGCACCCTGCTTCTTCTCTTGGAGCCCACCAAAAGGCCTCCCCCTCCCTCAACCCAGCACTGGGGCCGGTACCTTGGCGGCAATGGTGGCCGGTGACATCCGGGGCCGGGGGGCATCCTCACCACCGATGGCCGGGTACCCACCAGCGGGGGACCCCATCTCGGCTTCCCGCAGGTGCTCCACGCGGTCCTTGCGCCGCTGCAGGGTGGGGACCACCGGCTGGTCGTAGGGGCTGGCCTTGGACCAGTCCTGCAAGGGGCAAGAAGCCAGGGGGGGGTGACACCGGGGCCAAAAGCTGGGCAGGGTGGGAGTTGGGTGACACACACACACACACAGAGGTCAATGTCAACCTCCCCCCACACAACCCAGGATGCTCTGCCCCACGGTGGGGTGGGATGGAGTGTGTGTGGGGGGTGAACCCCATGAGGACATGAGCAGGCAGTGTGCTCTGGGATGTCATCCAGAAGGACCTGGACAGGCTGGAGAGATGGGGCCAGGTGAACCTCGTGAGGTTCAACAAGAACAAGTGCAAGGTTCTGCACCTGGGCTGGAATAATCCTCACCATCAACACAGACTGGGGGGTGAGGTGTTAGAAAGCAGCCCTGAGGAAAGGGACTTGGGGGTGCTGGTGGAGGAGAAGCTGGACATGAGCAGTCAGTGGGCACTTGCAGCCCAGAAGGCCAATCCCATCCTGGGCTGCATCCAAAGATGCGTTGCCAGCAGGTCCAGAGAGGGGATTCTTCTGCTTTACTCTGCTCTGGTGAGACCTCACCTGGAGTATTGTGTGCAGGTCTGGAGCCTTCAATATAAGAAGGACATGGACCTGATGGAGAGGGTCCAGAGGAGGGCCACGAGGATGATCAGGGGGATGGAGCACCTCTGCTACGAGGACAGGCTGAGGGAGCTGGGGTTGTTCAGCCTGGAGAAGAGGAGGCTC